TCATCTGCCAAGGACGTATATGAACAGGTCCCAGTCCGGGAAGAGGATGGAAGGATCCTGTTCATATGGACCTGTCGTCTGACAGAACACTAAATAATAATAAGATGAGGTGGTCTAGGCAACACGGAGTTTTCCTTCGTGGCATCCCAACAATTACTCCATACACACAGAAGAAGGCAATGGCAAACCCCTTCTGGATCATCTGCCAAGAACGTATATGAACAGGTCCCAGTCCGAGAAAAGGATGGAAGGATCCTGTTCATATGGACCTGTCGTCAGACAGAACACTAAATAAAAATAATAATATTGTGGTGGAAATCCACCGACGTTTCGACGGCACTTGCTGCCTCCATCATCAGGGTGATAAAACCTAGAAGTCAGTAATATTTTACTCTCCGTCTTCAGAATCTAAAGTTTTATTTAGGTTATGATTCCTCCCACCCACGAGTGGCCCCAGAAACAGTCGCTTCTTTATACGAGGCCCTCGGCAGAAACTGAGTTTGGCTTCCCGTTTGTAATGTGTAATCAACTTCATTTTACTCCCATACTTCGCCATTGTCAACGTTCTGACTGGACAGAATTCGACAGCAAAAACAAAATTTACAAACTAGCAGCATTCTGTGCTCGAATACTTACAGCAACTGTTCGATTCTGGTGTTCGTATCGAAGATTAAATTTGTCAATTAACGTAAAAACACGTCCTGTACTAAGGGATAAAGTCATTCTTGCTGCCGTAAGAAACACGAGTAGTACGATATCCACTTTCATCTTGAAGACGGCTGGAGAGAAATCCTTACACAATTGTAGCGTAGTTTACCTTTTATACACAATGTGTACAATTCATTCTACAGCAGATTAGAGTAACACAACGCGTTTTACAAAGGATAAATTAAAACAAACACTGCCTTCAGATTTAAGTTGATGTAGAGTCACGTACGCTTCTAACATTAACTTCTGTGTCATTGTGTTACAGCTGAGGTTATGTAAAAACGCACCTGCTATAAAAACAAACCGTCTTTTCATTTCATTTGTAGTTGCTGGTGTACATAATCGTAAAAATTTATGTTAATATTATTTCTCATAAGGCAGGTTACGACTAAGTAGCCAGTGTACTGGCAATGGTTTCATTGTGGTCTTGTACATAATTTAACTTACGTACGTGACCTCAGCCAATTTTAAACTAAAAATAAAATATGTTGTGTAATTTAAGGTTCCCAAGGCAGTAAGTAAAGTAAAGTTTGTCCCACTATACGCCATGTAGGCGTTTGGGGTGAGAGGAGGTATAGCTCCTCTCTTCCTTGACCTCGGCACTAGATGGGGGTGAGTGGTCAGCATCACGCCCCGGCCGGCTTTACCCCCGGGAAAGGACCCCGGTACCCATTGTAGAGGAGGCTGGGTGGGCCCCAGAGCCGGTCTGGATGCAGAGGCTAGAGGAAAAATCCTGCCCCCATCGGGGATCGAACCCCGGTCGTCCAGCCCGTAGCTAGTCACTATACTGACTGAGGTACGTATTTAAATTTCCTTCTTCTTGGTTGCTACGCAGTGTAATTTAAGTTTGTGTAAAGACGGTAAATAAATTATTGTATTAATGAACACAAACATGACGCAATTAAGATATAAATTCTACTTGTATTTAAACAATTTAGAGGAGCGTTATCCCTTATAATCAACAGCCTACAAGAAGTAAAACCCTCAATACCACAATTTAAACTCTAATATTTGGAATTTCGTTGCAGAAAAATTTACAGTCGTAATGTTTTGAAACACTAGGTACAGTGTGTGGACTGGATTTATCTGGCTCTGAAATCACAATGCTGAAACGTCGGATACAGAGGCTTCAGGAGCGAGACATGTGAATTTCTACTAAACCAAGCGGCTAAAGATCCCACAAGACAGCCATTTTCAGATTACATTCGGTAGCCTAACAGTAGACACCTCCTAGAAGTGAGGTTAATCAAAATCTAAAAAAAAATAATATTTTGTGTGAAACACACAAATCCGCTGAACCTCGACGAAGGATGAGTAGAATTTCACAAACTACGAAACAAAATTCTACATTAAGGCACATTCGTGCATGTTATAAATAAATAATTACACTCTCTTCAAATCTTCAGCTAATTTATGAACACCCGGTATAAACAATGAGTAATTAAAGTCACAACGTACAAATTTTTTGTAGTCTACGAGCAGACGTTCTGAGAAATATGGTATGTCCAATTGTAGTTTGATTGAAGTTTGTGTTATGTTGGACCGATATGAACAAAAATAATTCTGATATAAAATTCCAAATAATATTGACACAAACCGGAAAGTATTTGAGAATTAAACACCTCTCGATTATGGTCTTAATGTAAATATGCACACACCTTTCACTGAGTTTGTCCACCCATGTTTCGTCTGAATGTCACATTGATCAAAACGTGTTCTAACCCACACAACATAAAGTGAAATCAAAATTATGTTGTCGAGGAAATTAGCTTTGTCGAGAAATTGCAATTACTGCATTAATAAAAACAGAGGATATTCCAATATTTAAGCGCAAACTATAAACCCCACACAATATTCGTACATATAACGACAACGTGCGATATTATATCCACAACGCCATCAACGGCCATGTTGTTAACTATTAAGAACAGGCGAAGTGCGTAACTCGTCCTCGAAACACAAATTTACTCTTTGGAATACACCAACATTCCAAAAGGAGTTTTCCAAGCCACATAACTTAGGCCGTTCCTGCATTAATGTTATACAAGGTTACTGTTTCGTCTTAAATCATTATTCGACTAATCTAAACCGAAATCAATTCTGGGCACTAACCTAACCTAACAAAATTTTGAGAATTAAAAAAATTGTTTTATATTAAGTTTTTGCAAATATAAAAGATAAAATAAAATTGTATAAATCGTATTATAGAAACGTCTTTGTTATATACTTTGCCTAAAGAATCTGAGGCATTTTATAAAATTCCTAGGTATTCTATAAAATAAACTGTTACTTTCATACATTACCTAAAAGTTCTAGGCATTTTATAAAATGCCTGGGCATTCCATAGAATACCTGAATTTAATACTTTTGCCTACTGACTTTAAGCATTCTGTACAATGCCGGATTTCATAGTTTGCCGGTAACATATACACAGTGAAAATTTAAACGTTTAAGAAGATAGACTTCTTATTGTGTTATGAAGCAAATTATAACCGAGAGATAACACGAATTTATAAAGATGAAAGATAAGGGACATTAGGCTAATAGCATATACGAGGAGGAAGACAATTTATGGTGTTTATATGTTTTAAAAATGACAAAGGAGTTCTACAAACGTTGCAGCTCTTATTATAATTAAAATTTCCGTCTGAGACTTCAGTTTTAACACGCGAGCAGAGTACTTTGTAGTGGGTAAGAATTGGTTGGACATCTTCGAGTAACGAGTTAACGAGTATTGTCGGAAGAAGTAAGACACGTTTCATCTAATTTAACCGTAAATATAATTCGTTTTATAACCATACATTACCGAAAAATTTAGATAGTGAGTTTTCTTTTGTTAGCGACAACTCCGGAGGAAGGCGAAGTCCGGTCGACCCATAACACACAAGTTCACTTGACGGTTGCGCTGTCTAGAAATCTCACTGCAGATCAGACGCGCTAAATTTATTTAAATATTTTTTTTTCGAGCAAAGCGTTGGGAGTGTAATCGTATAGTTTGCAGTGACCTTTTATAAGGAATAAATAACAGAAGACCACATGTTTTTACTAAACAGGGCATTGTAACTGGATAGAAAATGGTCCCAGTCTAACACACTAAAACACAAACTTTGAGTGACGTAGTGTTTTTATTTATGCATATTTATCAAGCAGGGCGTTTGTAAGAGAGGTTTTTGCCTTCTTTACAATATTATCTTAGAATGTGTGGTAGGAATAAAATATACAAAATCTCAGTTAACAGAAGGAATTTCCAACGATGATTCTAACCAGGTACCATCAACATATGAGTCAGAAATTTTACCAGTGTGCATTTATATTCCGTACACTGCTGTATTTTTGTTTACAATATAATGTTATTGATAAATATGCAGCCAGGAACATATAAATAAAATGCCTTTATGCCTTTCTCATTAATAACAGAACAGATCGAGGAAAACAAGTTTAGTATTTATGGTCGATTCAAAGAAGCTGGTGCATTTTCGAAGTTCTGATTTTATATAAATTTCACAGGTATTTTTGTTTTCTCGTTCTTTCATTACGACTGCCTAATTAATGTTTACAAAAAAATTTTGATTAAATTTCTAGACGATAAAGCATTACATTGTGTTTATTTAGAGTTTTTGATATTTTTTCCATATTATTTTATGGTCTCATTCGAACTAGCTATAAAGAGTTCAAGAAATCGGTTTAAAACAATGAATAATCAAGCAGGCTTAGGCCTATTTGTTACGTAAGAAATAAAGCAGGTTAACTATTATTCTACTCGTTTACCTCAGAATTTTAGGTAACTGCACATTTGGATAACAATTAAGATAGACTACTCATTCATTGCTAACACAGAGGAAGAAACACACAATATAATGTACCAAATAAATAAATAGAAATTACTCCGTACTACACCAACTACTGATCTGGTCTAATTCTGCAGGGTGTCCAAAACGTTTCTATGAAACAGAAAAAAAATGTACGTTTACGTTATGTGAACAGACCGAAAAGATAATCTTGCTTCTTGAGATAACTCAAGTACTGACTTTCTAGATCTCTCGAAACTGCAACTCACTTTCCACAGTAACTGAATAGAACATGTGTAGTCACACGGAGCAAAGTCACCTGGGAAAATTTTCCGCAACTTCAACGCAACTGGAGGGATATTTGCAAAATCAATTGAGAATAAACTTCGCATGTCACTTTAGTGTGAGTTAATTATGCAAATGACTACAGTATATACGAGGCGCGTCTCCTCAAAGTAAGTTTCCCTGGGGCCGTTCACAGAAACAAAACACAATTTCATGGAAATATTTATTGCAACAGATACAGCAAGTGTCCAGCTATTTTTCAACATATTCGCCACCGGAATTGAGACATTTGTCATACCGTGGGACCAACTTTTAAATACCTGTGTCGTAGAAGTCTGCCGCCTGGACCGGACAGGAATTTCTTGAGGTGTAGGAAAAGATGGAAATCACTGGGAGCGAGGTCCGGGCTGTAGGGTGGATGATTAAACACCTCCCAGCTGAACTCCTGCAGGAGACTTGCTGTCCGTCGAGCCGTGTGCGGCCTAGCGTTATCACTGACCGCACTTCACAATCGGCGGGAGCTGGAATAAGAACCTCCATCTTCAACAGCTGCAACGATGCTACTGTGAGAACGCGGGAAGTACCGTTAGTGCATGCGCTATGCCACGTCATTGCTCTATCACGTACGCACAGTCGCTTCGCGCAATATAAGGTTTGCTAGCTGTGGGACGAGTGGGAAACCTACTTTGTGGACGCGCCTCGTAATATATTGAAGTAATAAATATTCTACTCGTTTTAAATGAATAAGAATCTTACTTATTTGGCAAATGTAGCCCTGATAATTCTAGATGACACAAAAATGACCTTACGTGACACAGCGTATGGTGAGAGAAAATTTCAGAATGGAGACCAGAACAACTGACATCGATTTCCTCAATTTAAGTAGCAGTTAGTTTTCCACTGATAAATCGGGAGTGGATTAAGTAAGTAGAGATACGACTTACTGTTACCTTGTAAGACTTGAGGTTCTCACAGCGGTGAGTATGAAGATATCTGTCTTCTGGGTTGTTGCGCTGTGTAGTCTGGTAGATGTTAACCAACGTTTCAGAGGTCATACTGCCTCCGTCATCAGGGCGATTCTTAGTATGAAGATTTCTGTCTTCTGGGTTGTTGCGCTGCGTAGTCTGGTCGATGTTAACCAACGTTTCAGAGGTCATACTGCCTCCACCATCAGGGCGATTCATCGCTGGTAAACATCGACCAGACTACACAGCGCAATAACCCAGAAGACAGAAATCTTCATACTGTTACCTTGGTGTACACCCAACTGAAGGGACTTCAGGTTTGAGCACTGTAATTAGAGCAAAATGTTCTTTTATTACCCAGGATGGAGAAGAATATTTCCGATGACTTCTTCTCGACTATTCGACCTCTCTTCTACATCTCCAGGGCTCTGGGCCTAGCACCGTTTGTATACGTTAAGAAAACTCTTCCAGGAGGACGAATATCTCAACGATTTGAGTGCAACTCAGCGGCATTTACTTACAGCGTCTTCGTAGCGGTGCTGACCACATTTTCATTTTCGTGTTCCATTATTTTAAAGGCGACATTGGTTTACTCCGAAATGACTTCTATTGATAGAATTCCTGATATTGTGTTGTCAGCTTTAAGCATCGGTTGTACAGTATCATTAATTTTAAGTTTGACGAAGAATAGAAATAAGATTTTGAGAATATTTTTTTTGATACAAGAATTAGACTCAATTTTGTTAAAAAATCCTGGCAAATATTATAGGAAAGGGAGAGTTTTTGTGATTTTCCAGTTAACTATTGCACTCTCCTTCCTTGGATTTGTCATTACGTACGACAGCATAATTTGGACCTTAGCTGTAGGTGTTAAGAATTTTGCTTATATTCATCTATATCTGGACATAGTAATAGGGTGGATAGTTGTGATTCAGTTCATGAATTTCGTCATTATATTAAGAGACAGATTCTCTCTTTTAAATATACATTTGTCTCGTTTATCAAATATTTTCGGAATTAGAAATCCGAATGAAGGCGTTTATCAGCCAGTGTTAAAATTCATCAAAATCAAACAAAATAAGTCAAAATTAACAGAGGAAGTCGTCTTAAACTTAAACAACATTCACGATGTCCTTTGCGACACTTCTCTGTTAGTTACATCCGCTTACGAAATTCAGCTACTACTTACATTAATCAGTACGTTTGTTAGTATGGTAACGTGGTTGTACTTCGGACTAATTTATTTTTATCGATACGTTAGTGGTTATAACACTCTAGTCGGTGTCTGGAATCTTGTAGTATCTGACATGTTATGGTGTTTAAAGCATCTCGCTAAGCTACTGTGCATCACAGTGCCATGTCATTTGGCTAACAACGAGATGAGACAGACTTCTGTTGTGATTCGGAAGCTACACTTTGTAGCACGTCACGATTCAGGAACTTTGGCAGAACTGGATCGCTTCTCGCAACATGTTTCCCTACGTCAGTTCAAATTCACAGCATTTGGATTTCTTAATCTTGACTTATCTCTGTTAATGTCCATGTTGGGGGCGGTAGCTACATATCTCGTTATTCTCATGCAATTCAAGATTTCAGATAAAAGTTCATCTTCATGCTGTAAAAATGTGACGGAATAATTACAATCCGCTCTAATCTCACGAATAATGTTCACTGCACAAATTTACACATAGTTCATGGATGTGATTATAAGATGGGGGTGAGACTCTGTACATATATGAATAAATAAATTCAAAGGAAGGAGAGAAGTTTCTAATCTTTACTTAACAGAGTCCAGTTATTATTTATTTAATTTGTAGTGTTCTGTCTGACGACAGGTCCATATGAACAGGATCCTTCCATCCTTTTCTCGGACTGGGACCTGTTCATATACGTTCTTGGCAGATGATCCAGAAGTGCTTTGCCATTGCCTTCTTCTGTGTGTATGGAGTAATGAGTAATTGTTGGGATGCCACGGAGAAAAACTCCGTGTTGCCTAGCCCACGGCCTTGCCCAACACAAGTTATAAATTCGGACACCGCCGGGAATCGAACCCGAGACCCCAGGATTACAAGGCCAGCGTTCTAACCGCTAGACCACCGTAGCGAACGTATTGTTTACATGTTAATTGATTACTGTGTACGCAAGGTCCAAAGAAACGGGAAATGAATTCAGACGACCGAGAACAACGGTGCACAAATTGTATCTACAGTCGATGTATCGATATTTATTTACACGTAAAATACATAAAATAAGAAAAATATCTGTAACTAATTGCGAACGTTTTGTTCAAATTCACTCATTTAAACTACCACCAAAATATAGGTATATATTATTTCGGTAATAAGATATTAAACATTTTTTCATTTACTAATCATTTTACTGTCCTGATGACATATCAACTCGATAAAAGACATCGATATGTCGGAGGCAAACTATCGATATATGCCCTATCGTGCTCATATATACATTGCTGTAAAGACTCAGTGTTGGATCTTACAGACATTTCAACTTTTTTTTTTTAAAACTGCAAAATGTCGAAAATTTCCACGATATCAAGACATGTTTCCAGTAATTATCACCTCATCAAATAAAATGGTGCACCACATATTATTTTTCGAGGTTATGTTCCTGTTCCACACAAAATGGGTAATTGATAAATATAATTGTCTCATAAAATGATTAGTAATTTAAAAAGCACTAAGATATATTTGGGCTAAGATGAAGTATTGGCTAAACATTTGTCGTGCTACGATGGGAATTCATGTGGAAGTATCTGACGAAAACCTGAGTTATTTTTCACATAAGTGTTTTGTTTTCTAACTTAGGTAAGTCCAGATCAGAAATTTCTTGACTGTGCTGCATATATCTGTCTGGTTAAGAAAATAAAGAATTTTATAACTCTACAGTGACATTCTAAACTGTCGGTAGGAATACATGTAAGTTTTTAGCCGATTTCCCGAGTCCAATCTGTACTCTTTGAGGCCGATAATGAGACGAGCGACCTTAACGACGCCCGCTCACGTGCAAAGGGTCTTTGAGCTATAAATTAAGCTGTATTATAACTTCAGCTGAGATGATATGAATATCCGCTACATGGCTATGATCTCAATACCCTTACAGACTTAACAATATTTTTTATTCCCAGTTGCTGCAACATTCATAAACTGGGACTGGGGCTGGAGAAATGGGCTAGTGGTACTTTCAGGATATCCTAGCTGAAGGAATCTGGGAAGAAAATCCCAGAGGTAAATATATGTACCGCTTCATTTAGCAATCTATAACTACAGTCTACCCAAAGTGTGTATTTACGTGGTTCATATAATTCTAAGAATTAATTAACTGATATTTTATTTGCAATACGGACGGAATTCTTTAACAATATTTAGACGATCTAAAATTTAACACTCTAACGCCTTAACTCCCATTCTACAATTATCAGACGGACGAACGGGCATTGCCTGGGAACCTTCCAACAATAAAATGATCTTTCTTCACTCTACCCCCCTCCAGAAACAAAGCTCCCCTCACTTGTAAACTATGTAAGAAACAAAGTTTTCATCTCTCATCCAAAACATATGTATGAAATAAACCCTTGAAACCGATCTTTAAACACTTTCAGATAAAGTAACGAAAGATATTGGACCATCGTCAGATCTGAAGTGGAATGTAATCTGAATAAACTAAGCACCAAAGAAACAATAAATTACAAGTTAGAAAATGCTTATGAATGAATAACTAAATTACGTCATTACCATTTCAGACTTGGTTTTTAAACTTATGTTTACAAAATAGAAACTTAACAAAGCCAAATGAAATTAAACGTGCAGCTCCGTACTTAAAGCAATTAAGTTAAGTGCACTGTGTCACTATAGATGTTATGGGATGGATATGGTAAGTTTACATACTACTGAATGTTGGCTTCAGTAAGCTAATATACAGTACACTGCATTACAAACATTTCCAAACAAGCGTTAGCATTTGTTTTTGTAATAAAAAATTACATCGAAAATAAACCAAATATGAACTAGAAATTAAGATCGAACATTGATTCGGCAGTTTTTGGTACCAAAATTTTATATTTACCCTTATCATAATTAATCAGACGCTTAAATTTCATAGGCCTCTAATTGTGTAACTTTTTATATTTTCAAACTATTATAAACATTCTTCATTATTTTTGTTTACTATCTAATTAATTAATTTTCAAGAGAGTATAATCTTGTGTTTCTATTTCAGTTACGTGAATCTGATAGAAAAGCTAATATGTGCTTATCGATACTTTTATCTTAATATTTTATAATTACAGGTCAGAACTGTGTGGTAATTGATTTTACGATTTAGCACGTTACATCCATACAAGCCTATGTTGAATGAGAGTACTTTTAAGGACACATCTGTACACACATCTCGTTCTGCATAGACAGTTATGTTTGCTTCGCGTAGACGTTTAATAACAGACTTGTAATCTGATAGACAAGCAGGAAAAGGCTATATAAAGAATACACGCAAGATTCTTAGGCTCCATGAAAGACCGCATTAAAGACATAAAATCGTGTTAATCATCTTCCTTTAGTCACGAGCGTACACAGAACCAGTATAAGATTCCTTTCATCGTAAATACAGCGCATTTTATAGTCAAATAAACTATTAAAGAGTAGGCAATGATTGATAAAAATATAATCACTTACTTTCAAGAACGTCCGATTCATATTTATCTCATTTATTTATTATTATATTATTTAGTGTTCTGTCTGACGACAGGTCCATATGAACAGGATCCTTCGATCCTTTTCTCGGACTGGGACCTGTTCATATACGTTCTTGGCAGATGATCCAGAAGTGGTTTGCCATTGCCTTCTTCTGTGTGTGAATGGAGTAATTGTTGGGATGCCACGGAGGAAAACTCCGTGTTGCCTAGACCACGGCCTTGCCCAACACAAGTTATAAATTCGGGCACCGCCGGGAATCGAACCCGAGACCCCAGGATTACAAGGCCAGCGTTCTAACCGCTAGACCATCGTGGCATATTTATCTCATTACCTTCAAAAAAAGAAATAATGAAGCAATTGGATTGTGTATTGTCTGCATTTTTAGCATCCTAAAAGTTGTAATAACGCAATGCGTCAGTTTAACTATGATATAACGAATAAACTCAATGTTTAACATTAATTTTAATAACGTTATAAATAACAAATTAAGCAGTTGATAGTTCAGGTAATGACTACTACATAAGCATAATTCTTGTAAGAATTAATAATAAATAACCATATGATTCCTGAAAGAAGACGTTTTACATATGAACTCACGACTTTTTATATAGACTGAGTTACTACAGCAGTCAAAAAAATATCCTGTCCTTTATGAAACCCTAAAATTTATTACTGTGTTCACAAGCAATCGCCACTGTGAACCATTCTGTTAAAATTTAATCTATTTACATCGTAACACCGTATTTCCTTGGAATATATTTTAGTATTATTCTCCAATTTGCGACTTCATATCCGAATTGGTCTCTTCTCTTCAGATTTTCCAGCTGAACCCTTCACTTTGTGTTATAAGTCTTGTCACCTGATCTTTTTCATTTGATCACCATAACAGTATCTGTTGGGGAGCGAAAATTTTAAAGCTGCCCACGAGTTTCTCTCTCTAAGGTCAAAATATTTACATTTTCCTTTGTCCAGTTTGAAGAAACACACAACGATTCGAAAGTAGAACCATATTTCTTAAACTACACAAAGGAAAATGTCCAGTTTCATGGCACATCTTAATCAGAAATATTTATACTAACCTTCAACCTATTACCCTGAAGGCGAGAGACAATATTTCACATACCCCTTACATCACCCCTTTAATCAGAAGTATTATTTCTGTAGGCAATACAGGGACATATATATGTTTTAGTGCTCGATCCGGTAGATTCCGTCAGAACTTGAGCTCTGAATGTCCTTGGGTATCTAGGTAGAATATTGTTCGATATATGAAGTTTTATCTCCGTTCCATCTCGGTGTTCTCCATTGGAATGTCGTTTCACGTAAGTCGTATTCCACGTGTGTCAACTGTCTTAAATAATTTCTGACGTTTTTCGATGTCAGCCTCTCATATATGGCATTATATTGCTGAAATGACCTAAAATCATTGTTACATTCATTTTGAACATGTTTATTTAGTTATGTTGTATTTTCTTTGCGTCAAACATCACCTCACTTCACTCAAATTAAAGTAAATATAATTCAATTCAATTCTTTTTTATAACATAAACTAACATAAACATTCTCGTCCTTATTTCTAGATCAAACAATTACGATAATTGAAATTAAGAACACTTTAATTTCTGAATTGGCAAAGTTCCACACACGCAGCACATTCTGAATACGAAACAAGTAGCAGAGATGAAATCCCAGACGCTGTGGAACACGTTTCCCGGAATTCGAGTGTTATACTTTTTATCACATCTTGTAGGAATGGCTCCATCCACTTACATAAGAGATGAAACTCTAACAGGTAGAAAACGAAAAATGTTGGTACCTTCTCGGTACGGAAGACTTCACACCAGTGCTATGATTTTGTTTGTAATAGCCGGAACATCTGTGATGGCTGTATGGAGGATACGATATTCATATCCTCAGATACGAACGGTCTCTGTTCTGATTACAGACCTAACTCTTCTTTTGTTGACTTACTTAGTTGCTACTGTGTCTCTCGTAAAGTGTCTCAGACACCGAAATCACTCATTTAGCCGTATTTTGTTATCAATATCTGAAGTGGACGAAGGACTTCTGTATCCGTCAGAAGATGTGTGGAAAAACGCAAATATTCTCCAAGCCTGTGAGTTTATTTATTTCGTGTTATACGAAGTTTTCTTTTGTTTTTTCCAGTACACTGTTTGGGCAAATGAACATGGGAGTAAGAACCAATATCATATCCCTATCTCATGTATTATTCATTCTGTCGTTTGTGTAATGGAAATACAATTCTTTAAGTCGGTTCTGATAATAGAACGTAGATTTTCTGTTCTTAATTCACGCATTAATTCGATTACGGTAGACCACAGAATCAGTGGTAAAATACAAGACAGTGGAATATTTTCTAGGACAATATCGAAAAATAACAGGATACGTGAACAGTGGAATATTTTCTAGGACAATATCAGCGAATAACAGGATACGTGGAGGGCAGATTAAAATTAGTTTGCCGTATAAACAGGACGTCGCAATTTTTGCAAGAAACAATTCGTCAGCAGAATTCCAACAACAGCTTCACAAACTACGATGTCTGAACGACATACTAAGCGACGTAGTCTCGAGTGTTAACTCTGCTTACGGTCTGCAGATCCTTCTGTCTACAGCGATGAATTTCATGAGCGTCACTACAAGTTTATATTTCGGTATCGGCTTCGCAAAAAGATTGCAGGAAGATGAAGGTTTTCAAGTTAAACACACGTTCGCTCTAATTCTTTCGTTAATTTGGGCAGCTGTAGGAATTTTTCGAATCGTCATGATGAGTTCGTCATGCAATGCAGCCAGTGGCGAGGCGAGTCAAACTTCTGTCCTGCTCCACAAGTTACTTCTGAAATCGTCACTCCACCCAGACACAGTGACAGAAATCCAACTGTTCCTACAGCAAGTCAGAAACCGTCCGGTGAAGTTCACGGCGTCGGAATTCTTCACCCTCGGTCACTCCACACTGTGTTCCTTCACTGCAGCCGTGGCGACATATCTCGTCATTTTATTACAGTTTCACAGCTGAGAGATCGTTTTACGATCACTGCTAATAATTTAAGATCAATGATGACAGCAGCTCGTGTTATGTCGTAACGAAAAATAACAAGGTAGTATATTTGCGTCATATT